ATGCTAGGTGTGAGGGATTTCTGAAGAGTCAATGCAAGCAAAAATCATTAAAGCAAGCTTAGGAGGAGCCTGTCTTGCAAATCAATGAGTCAATGCAAACAACAGGCTTACCTTAATAGAAACTTTTAACCAATCTGATTGTATTGTCTCTGTAAAGTGCCTAGAGATTATTTGTGTTGTAAATTGGTGCTATATAAATAAACTAAATTGAATTTTGCTTAGTTCCATCCATTTTCAAATCGCCTGTGGTCAGCTTTTCTGCCCCTGCTCAATAGAAGAATCCCCTCAGCATAAGGCTGCCACAAAATTTCATGATGGTCGTGTAGCATAGGTCAAAAAGTTAATTTTTTTTTACCTAATCCATCCATTTCTCATAAAAATATATATCTTTTACCCCCAGACCTTTTCAACTATGTTTTTTTTATTGCAAAGTCCAGATACGTGTAGCGCACAATAAGTGTTAGTCTCTCTTCTCTTGAATTCTCTCCTTCGTCCCCTTGTCAGTTTAGATGGATGGTCATGTTTTTGGTAGGTTTTCAAGTGTGTCACACTCCTCCCTGCGTCAAATAAGTGATTGCAAGGTATTGTGAAAATACTTTGCATTTTTCTACCTTTGGGATTCTTCAGAAATATTCTCCTGATCCTTCTGGATTGTTTCTTGGGCTTCATGTGGCTGATTACTCAATAATGCTCTCAAAAAAAAACTCAGAGGTCTTAACAGAACAGCTCTACTTAAATTAATGAGAGTTGGACACACAAATAGACTCTGTTTAGGTGTCTTCTGAAGGCATTTGTGGTTAAACTGTGTTTTATTTAGGAGTATCAGAGTCAAGGGGGATTTCTGCACATCACATTTTCATTCCACCTTATAACCATTCACTTCTATGTTTTTCTTTCTCCCATAAAATCCTAATAAAACACTGAAGTATGTGGCTGTAACATGACAGACTGAAGCAAAGCATCGTTCAAAAGTACCATTCTTGAAACATTCGAAATTTATATTTGCTTTAAATATATTAAAATATAAACAGAGGTCTAACAGTTCTTTATTTGCTCTAAATTTCTTTACACACACTTATATACAAACTGATGCAAACTCTAGCAATAAAAGTGGAAAAATATGATGCAAGTATAGCACACTGCTTAAAATAAAAACAATTTCTGCAATTCTGCATTGAATAAGGCTGTGTAAAAAGGGAAGCATAATCTAAGCACCATGTTTGTCATTTTTTCACAGGAAAAAATAGTTCTGCACAGCATCATGCACTTTTTATTGACCTTAAGTTGTCTCTGATTGGGTATTTATCTCAGTGGATTCCTTCCCTGAGCATTTTATGACATTTGAGGAGCAGCTTTATTTAGGAATCTATTTTTCAAGACCAAAAAGTCATGATCAATTATGTCCCCTTTATAGAATTCCATCTTTCATTTGAGTCACCTTTCAGCTGTGTTTAAATCAGCAAATTAATCACATAAACTGCAGGGATCAAAAGTAACGACTTGTTTTTATAATATACTCGAAATTTGCTCATGTTCTGCTGAGTCATGGTACTTGAAGTGACAAAATGTTTATTTAAGACTGCCTTCTACATTAGGAGAAGGAATGCTGTAAATTCTGTACATGAGAGAAATCTTCACTAGGAAGAAACCTCAAATTGCTCAGATTTTTTATTTGTCCTCTTTCTAACTTGCTGCTCTATAAATAACTTCAACCTTGACCTGCAGGACTCAGCTCAGTGGATTACAACCCTGAAATACTACATGTCATATTTGTTGGAGGTCACTTGGGAGTAGGCTGTTTATATATAGAAAAAGCTCTTTCACTGCTAAACTTTTCTATACTGAAATTAATCAAAGTTTTTTTTTACTGTATGACGTGAGGTATACCAACCTCACTATAAAAATAGATTGTACTCCAAACACATCACATCAATCAATGTACACATAAACATATTTATATCAAATAATTCTGAAGCGAAAATAGCTTTTTGAATAATTTCCACTGAAAAAAAGAGGAAGTATCAAATATGGGTAGTGATGAAATCTATAAATCCATTGCCTGGAAATCTAATAGGTTGATCACTGACAAGTCTTGTTTCTTCACAAAAACATTTTTTTACAAGGCAAATGTTGAACAGCTGTATTGGTTATTTAGCTTCTTAGTAACAAATGTCATCTGTGCAGGAAACCTGAGGGGTTCAGGAAGCAAATCAGTAAGATAACAAGTTTCTCCTCACCCACAGTCAATAACAAAATAATGACAACTTCATTAGGTAAAAGAACAATCCTAAACTAATTTGATTCTTTCTGTATTTCTGCTTCTGTCTCCTTGAACCCCAGACGGTCTCAGCAGATGGCCGCTCACACTGAGCCTGATTCTGCTGGAGGTTTCTTCCTGTTAAAAGGGATTTTTTCCTCTCTACTGTCGCTACAAGCATGCTTAGTGTGAGGGATTGCCTTTGAGCCAATGAGTCGATGCAATCAACTGGTTTTCCTTAGATAGAAAACTTTGAATCAATTTGACTGTATTATCTGGTTAAATTGTAAACTGCCTTGAGATGACATGTTGTGAATTGGTGTTAATATATATTATAAATAATCTGAATTGAAATTGAATTGAATTGAATATGGCAGAAATCTCAAACAGGGAGTCAACAGCCAGACCACTAAAAGTGTGCATGTATCTTATTAGAAGATAGTTTACCATAATAAAAAAAAAAACAGAACAGAAAACCGTGTTTGTTAATACAAGAACAAAAGAGAGAATTTATTAAAGATTGATATTTGACTTTCTCAGTTCAGCCCAGTAATATTAGCAGGGCAATATATCCCAGATCATTTGGTGCATACAGGTTTTAAACAACAAAGGAAGTGAAACAAAATAAAAATAATTGGTTATAAAAAAGTTTGGGTGGGAAATCAGTGGTTTAGACTTTAGACCTCCCTATGGTGGTAATTAAACCTCTCCCTTTCAGTCTAGTATGAAAATCATGTTTCTGCTGTGTGTGTTTGTAACAACACCGGTTGTTGATGCTTCTTTTGTGGGTGCGTGTTGTTAGAGAAGCTGCAGAGCCTGCAGCCTTGAAGGTGACCATCGACGCGCTTTCAGCAATCAGTCTGTGTCAAAGTTCACCCTAACAAGCTGTAGTCTGATTGCATATCAGTATTTTAACTTCAGTGAGAGACCGAATGTTGTGATAAAAACTAGATTAACAGTCTGCACAAACATGACCCAATCATGTCCAGATGGAGCTAAAGGCAGAACACACTGAGAATGGTTTTCCTTAGCATCAAAAAAGGGTCACCTGTTCCTTGATTAGTTTGTCAGCTGAAACACAATCCATCTTGCGACTCATTGAAGGGCTAGCAGCAAGTTAACTGAGCAGCTTTTAGTTTTTAAAGCATAAAAACACTCGTAACCAAAATCAGCTAATCTAAATAATAATATTGACCCACTGTGGTTAAAAAAAAAATTAAATTCAGTGAGCAAAATCTTTGTAATATAATAGGTAGATTAAATTATATGCAGTAGAATGTACTTTAGCTAAAACATGTGTGCCAGCAAGCTGTCAGGTGTTTTACTGCAGTGCTTTTCAATGAGCTG